TTTTTTCATATTTAAAATATTAGTTTTATTTTTTTCCATAATAACTCTACTTGCCATAATTGTTTTGTTGTTGAATTTATTATATTTTAAACTATTATTCCGTACCTGTATCTTCAATAACATTGCCTATTTTATTAGTTTCCATCACTGCTTTTTCAGTACACAATGATTCTATTTCTTCTTCCAGGGCTGTCCATATATTCTGTGTGTTTATCTCTGTTTTAAAACTTAATCTTAGCCTTATTTTGTTAAAAATTTCTTTGAATTGTTGCTTCATCTTCTTTTTTTTTCTTTTCATCTTCATTTTTATTTGGGTTATTTTCTTCACTATTGTATTTCGTTACTTGCTTTCTCCTTTCCTTGTATTCTTCTGCATTTATTCTTTTTTGTCTTCCTTCAATTCTTAATGTCGTGTGCTTAGGTTTTCTAATTTTCAATATATTTTCTTCATTAATTTCTACTTCTTTTTCTTTAATATGATTTAACATTTCAAACTTGTTATTATTAAATCTGTTTAATTGATTATCTGATTGTTTAATTAATGAAGGAAATACATTTTGATAATCTCTGTTATAAAATTTGGTCTGTACTATATCTGCATATGTTCTCTTACGCAATATTTGCTTAGCTTCACTTATAGAAATATTCTGATATGCTTTCAACTCCTTTAATTTTTTATTATATAAATACGTTTGACAATTTCTATCATTCGCTTGATGATTATTTCGGCATAAAGCACATATTTCTATTTGGCTCACACATTCTTTTACATCATGTTCATCCGAACATTTTCTACATCTTTGCCTGCCCTGGCACTGAAGACGAATATGGCCGAACCTCCAGCATTTGTGGCACTGTATAACATTTTCAATAAAAGGTTGAACCTCGCAAGCTACTGAATGAATAAATACATTTTCTGGAAGATAACTGCCCCTGAACCAAATCTTCACTCTTTGTGTTTTATAACTGCTATTATATGCCTTTTTATTTTTAATACACTTCACTTTAATAATTTCAACATCCGTTTTAATGCAACTCATGATTTCATCTTCTTCAATCTCTGGGTCTACATTAAATATAATACCTATTCTCGTAGTTTTATGCTTCGGAATATAAGTTTTAATATTATACTCGTCCAGTAATTTCTGTTTCACCACTGTATTAGCACTCTTCCAATCATTAAAACATATTTTTATTTTATTTATACCTATAGCTGCAACATTACTTATCTTATTACTAACACTTGACACTTTTGTATGTAAAATTCTTCCTAACGCCATTGGATGTAGTCTACCCAAATTTTTATCTTTTGATTCTGCATATATAACAAATGGACCTTCGCTCCTTTCATCATAATAGAAAAACTCCTCTTCATAGGTTTTTTTATTTAAATTACTATCCATTTCTTCATTTACTTCACTTGCCCAATCGATATTTACATCGTTTTCATTAATTCCATCATTATTAGTTTTCTCTAAATGTGTTTTGTTAACTTGTACTTCAATTTCACCTTTTTTCCTTATCACACTTAACTTTTCGCGATTCTTATCAAATATTTTATTACTTAACAATCTTCTTTTCTTTCTAAAATCTATTACTCCCTTTTTAATACTTTTTCTTATTACTTTTTTTATATTCACAATTTTTAACTAAATTAATTTCACTAACTTTTGTTTCATTAATATTATTATCCAAATCATTTATTTCATAATCACTAATGTCATCCATTTCGTATTCAAACTCTTCTATTGACGTAATTCTGTTATCAACTGGATTCAATTCACAATCCTCAAAATCATGATGACCACTGTCATCGTCGTCACTTTCCTGGCCGTACTGGCCAGACTCCATTGTTCACTTACTGACTCACTCGCTCTTATCAGATTATGTAAATTTATTTACCGATGTGTATCGCACGAATGCTCGATGCAGACTGTATGTTTGACTTGAAAATACATATCCATTAGTTATACGCAATACAAAAAATACGATTTTCGAACTCCTTAAGAATAATTTAAATAAATAATAAAAAAAATATTCAAACTATTTTTATATTTAAATAATCCATTTAAATCCAGGGATGAAGTATATACATTATATTAAAATGTAATTCCATTTACTTCATCATTTCGCATAATTTAAGAAAAAAAATCAGTTACTGTCGACGTTAGGTCTGGTAAGTACAGCTAACTCCCCACAAACGGCATAATAAAGACATAAGACTGGGAATTTTAGTGTCATTTTTCTTTTAAACTCGGACTAGCATCATTACTTTGCATTCTGTATTAGATTTAATTAAACTAAAAAAAATAATAAAGCAACCCTCGAAATGACACCCTCTTCGTAGGTTCTCCGTTGTGGTACTGAATCACGGCATTCACAAGTTAAGCAAAAATTGTGAAATGGATACAATTGCTTGGATATTCTAATAAAAAATAATATTTCTATTTAATCAAATGCAGGTAAAATAAATAATAAAGAAGTGCAAAACTGATCTTTTCAAATTATTTTGTTATTAGTGTAGGTACTTAATTAATTATTTAAATTATTGAATTAATAAAAACTTCGACATAACTTCATTTTAAACAGTTAATCATGCGAGCTTAAAATGGTTAAATTAAATGCTGTATATATAAAAGTAAGTATTCAAATTCTTGCAGTAAAGATTATAACATTCTAAAACATTATAGGCCTACAAAAAATAATATAATTATAAAAACCCATTAAAGTTTAGAATAATGAGCCACGCCCTTAATATATATGCACTGTATTGATTCTATGTTTTGTATTGATCAAAATGAGTTAAATAAATTAAAATATATTAATACAATTATATGTATTACAAATATGTTTAAAGATTTCGGCGAGTCGAAAGGCAAATTGATTAGTTTTTGGTGAAAAGCAAAAATTATATTTTTGAAACAAACATTTATCTAAATAGCTAATATTTAATTTTTATCGACTTTATCTATATCGCGAAGTTCATGCAACTTTTCTTATGATAAAAAGACTACTTACAACTACTTATTTTATACTAGCATAGCCTCAATATATACCAATCTTGAATTTTGAGAAAATGTTTCTTTTTTTTCAAAAATTGCAATTTAAATAGCCTAAATGAACGCTGATAAATAACGAATATACTCATCAATATACAAAATTCTTCCATTTGCCGATGACGAATATACTCGTCAATCGAAGTTAACTGGTTAAGTCAAGAATCATATTTGAATTATTATCAATAAATAAATAGGAAAGTTGCAATAAATTCTTATTGCAAAGTTCGTAAGAAAAGACGTATGTATTTATGTATTTTTTTTTAAATTAAAGTTCGGTAAATTAAAAAGTTTTTAATAAAATATTCACCAGGGCAGCGTCTATCAGTAGAATACATATAAATAAATGTAACGACGTTATAAATACCGAGCGGGAGCGGTGCCGTGTCTCTTAAAGTTTTTCATCGTTTAGCGAGTTTCGTTATTAGCAGAGCGGAATGTCCGACATTCTCATTGTTGACAATATGTCTTATTGTCAGACTTGATTCGGTGTTCTCGAGATAAGGACGTTATTACATCAGGACGAGGAGACGGTGTGCTTTTTATTCCAAAAGGAAATGCGCTCTCCAAACGCTGTTAATGTTGACTCAATGTTTTGACTTCGAAGCAAATAATGAAAATTAGAATGCTTATGGGGTTGATAAATGACTTTTTGCACCATTGCTGGATAGGAGACCATAAGCCTGTACGATTTACATAATTTTAACACGTAAATCGCCATGTCAGTCATATGCGTCTGACGCTAAGCAGTTCTACATGAATCAAGTCATACATACGCAATTTGGTAGAGTGCCACGTCAGTCACAGATACATATGACTATACCGACAAAAACGATACATTTGCAATATGTTTCGAAAGCTATCAGGAACAAAACCTGAAAACTTTTTACTTATAACACTTATACGGCTTGTCGTGAAAAAAAGTGTTAATATAGAGTCATGTCAGTCATATATGTGCGACATCAAAAATAATGTTTTTCCAGAAATTTTGTCTTTGATACATTAAGTTCACTTGATACACTTTTAATTAAATTGCCTAATAAAGTTACCGTGGCCCATGTGAAATTTTTTTGTGATATTATCGTGGGGATTAACGTGTTAAACTAAATTTCCACATAATCAAAATATAAAATATTATCTCTTGTGATAACAGCTCAAAGTCAATTCACATCACCTTCACCCTGAGGAAAAATACTTTCCCACCTGTTGTATTATTTAACCAAAGGTTGCAACAGACAAATGTAGTTAAATACTTGGGCTTGCGCCTTGATGCCAAACGAACATGAAAATACCATATTCAAAAGAAACGGCAACAGCTGGAAACCACGAGAAGAAAACTGTACTGGTTGTTAAACCGAAAATCTCAGTTGAGCACATGGAAAAAACTTCTTCTCTACCAAGTCATGTTGAAACCAATTTGGACGTACGGAATACAGCTCAGAGGAACGGCATGCAAATCCAATATCGCCATAATACATTTCAAAACAAGATTTTAAAAGAAATTATAAACGCACACAAGTATTTCCCAAATTGGTTGGTTCATACAGACTTGAACATTAACACCGTTAAGGAAGAAATTGAAAAGTTCAGTCTGAGATACAAGAATAGAATACAGAACCACCCTAACATCATGGCCAAAACTTAATAAAAAAAACATGGCAATGAATGGCTAAGAAGAAAACGGCCACTTTTTGATATTCTTTAGTAATCCTATAATATGTACAATTACTCGTAGGCTTAATTAAATATTTTCACAACAGGACTATCTATAAGCTAAACATATCCAACATCGAATCGGATCACCAATGGGTGATCTTTCGACCTTTTTTTTTATTTATCAAAATTACTGAATGTTGTATAAGAACGACAGATTGTAATTCTCAAATGTAAATAAAAAAATGAAAAAAATCTCATGTGATAAATCAGAATTAACAATCCACTTACCTTGTTCGAATAACATCCTGGTTTTGGCAGACAATGCAGCAGCATGATCACCAAAATTGTAGCTAGCTAGTGCCAACGCTCCATGAGTTCCCAATAAAGTACCCACTACAAATATAAAGTATAAAAAATTTTCGTTAATAACGTTCCAATCTTTGTTAGTATAAAAATTTTCAGTTGATTTTAAAAATTCAAAACGTACCCATTACAATTCCTTAATAGAGAAACCATTTAATTTGCGGCATACGTATGGATAGCATTTTTATTTTAATGACATTAAATATTTCTTTATAAATATAGTCAAGTCATATGAATTTATTATTTGTGTAGTAAAAATGCGTGAGAAATAATATTGTATTCCTTTGTATCGAGATCCGATCAGATACGCGATCGATGGTCAAACATAAATATTCGAATAACGTACCCAGTGGTTGGTTATATGCGGGATATATACATCGACATGCTTTATACGGTAGCAGAAAGGCTGCGGACAGAGCATTCCTTTCACAGACGCATGTCGTACCGTACTTTACAAGTACTTTAATGTAAACGAATTCAAAAGAAACGAACAAATTTTAGCTGTTGCATACTTGGACCACAAATAAGAAATTTCCACTGTGTTCTTCGAACGAACAATATTCAAACTAGTTTTAAAAGCTTTAGTTTTTTTAAAATGTTGTATTTTTTTAACATTTTTGAAAATTTTAATCTAATTTGAATAATTTAATTTTTTTTGAAAAGGGATCGTTCAAGTATTACGTAAGCAGATTTAGTACAATTATTTACCCCCCCCCTCCCCCTTGTCAGCAAAAGTAAGCAAAGCTGTCACCAAAATGTCACCCAAAATAAGCAGATCAATAACCCCCCGCCCCCCTATAGTGCTTACGTAATACTTGAACGGACCCAAACCTTAAAAAACGAGTTTTTAAAAATTTTGAATATTCTCAATTTTTTTGAAAATCTTGATTTTTTCAAAGCGATTGCGCTGTGTAGCTATATTTTACCCGGACGGGGTAAACAAACAGCCAGGGGGCCAACATGTCCAATATCTTATTTTTAATTTTAAAAGGTTTTTACAAAATAATAGCTACATTATTCAATCAATGCAAAATATAAATTTTATAGGTACATTTTTACAGAGATAACAATGTATATAATCTTGATCCAGATTTCGTCAGAAATATTCATCAGCAGAGTTGGAATAACTATTTATTTATTTAATCTCTTGTAAAATTGCTTTTTTTTAACTTAGTTCACTTCTTTATTCACTAGTTTTTATTGCTTACACCTTTGTCAGGGTAAAAGTTCAGTTGATCCTTTTTACCCCATCCACCTGTGAGCTTTTATAGAGGTTATAAAAACTTTATTTGAATCTGACTTAAAATTAACAATTTATCTTATAAAATAATTAAATAACGTATACTTAAAAATATATTATGGTCTCGCAAACTAAAGAGCAGTGCTCACAAGAAGAAAAACTAACAACGAAAGGTATTTTATTTATTTATTTATTTATTTATTCATGAGCAAGCCGTAATCAATAATAATAGATATTATTTCAGGCTCTTGTCAAGCTTATTCATAATTAATATTAAAAAGATAGTAATTTTATAATAATCATAATAGCTGCACAAATTTCGCTTCTGAAAAAAAAAGAACTGAAGAAAAGTATTCGAACATGAAATACAATGTTCATCATCAAGTTCATCATATTAAAGTCTAGTTGACCACCAGTCAAGTTCAAAATTCTTGCACAAGGTTGAAAGTTATACTCATTTAAAACCGTGAAAAATTTAAATTAATAAAATAGCAAAAAAACATGGTTGTACAGGCGATCAAATAGTCAGACTACATAGATAAAGGATAGGGATTATGCAAGAAAATAGTTATTGAAAATTCAGTAATGTCATAAAAAGCTAATTCTTTAAAAAGTTTAACTAGGGAAGCATGAAATTTATTGCTGTCTAAGTTTCGGATATTGAGTGAAAGTTTATTCATAAGCTGAATACCTAGACCGTCGATTGCCTTAATAAGTTTGTGTCTAGTGTTGTAGTTTGAGGAGGACGAAGTCATATCAAAAAGTTTCGAATTGTTTTTGATAAAAGATAATCTTATTAATACTTTTGTTATGGATTTTCAAACATTGCCGTTAATCTCCTGATAGCGTCGTCGTAAGAATCAAGGTGATGGCTGATTATACGAACTTTCAAATATTGTTGTTAAAAAAAAATCTTAACTTTAGTGGTTTTGGAGATATAGGCGGTGTACCTTTTTATCCACAGACTTTACCCTATGCCAAAAAGATTATGAGGTCTTGAAAATTTTATTTTCGATTTTTCTGCGATTACTATAATTTACCCTATGGGAAGTTAATAAATAAGAAGCCATTTGTATTTATGTATTCGAGTACAAAATTTATTATATTACTAATTAGTTTACTGCTGATTGGCATACATGTACCTAAAAAGTAGAATATAATTACTGTAAGACCTGGATAGCTTTAAGAATATACGAGTGTATTCTGTACAGATCTAATACGCCGCAAACCTTCATTACCCATTCATTATAAAAAGCAACCTCCCTGGCTTACGCGAAAGAGCAACAGAAGTGAACAGAAGCATCACGTTTTTAAATTTCAACATTCGCGTTCCCGACAAACGGTGTGTGCGGTGCAGCGTATAGTATGCACGATGTCTTGTGATATGTGAATACTTGAGTCGGTTCGGTGCATGTGTGAGATTTCTTCCGCGCATTCAATGCAAATCGGCATAACAAACGATACGACGTTTACAAATCAAAAGCGAACGAGTCGTACATAGTGTTAGAACGAAATATCGAGTACTGAGTAAATATCGATACTTTGCGGTCGATAGTGAGTACTTTTGGTATCGATTTTTTCGACAGCGTAATCTATGAACACAACTCATCGACCAACTATGAACACCACTCATTTTGCGAAATGCTATGCAATAGTCTCTATAGGTGGTCATAACTGTTCAAAGAAGTGTCCAAAATGATCCCGAAGGGTGTCATTAGTCTCCGAATTTATTGCTCAAAAACCCAAAATGAATATGACCACACTAATAAATAAAGATGTTTATTTACTACTCTTTCGTAAAATGAAACGCCTTTTTAAAGTACCAAAATGTTTTATAAAAACATATTCAACAATCCAAGTATGATTATTTCAAATAATAATATTCATCAATTTCAATATATTAGTATTTTGCGTAAAAAAGAATCGAAATATAATTATTTCAAATAATAATATTCATAAATTTCTATATATTAGTATTTTGCGTTAAAAAGAATCGAAATATAATTATTTCAAATAATAATACTCATAAATTTCTATATATTAGTATTTTGCGTTAAAAAGAATCGAAATATAATTATTTCAAATAATAATATTCATAAATTTCTATATATTAGTATTTTGCGTTAAAAAGAATAGAAATATAATTATTTCAAATAATAATATTCATCAATTTCAATATATTAGTATTTTGCGTAAAAAAAAATCGAAATATAATTATTTCAAGTAATAATACTCATCGATTTCAATGCGTTATTATTTTTCTTTCTAAAAGTATGTGAAATGTAAGTTGAAGAAAAGTACTTGTAAATTAAAAATTAAATAAACAATTTAAAAAAGAACAGAAGAACAATATTTTCTTTGTGGTACGTGAATCTTAAAATGTCTCGTTTTCAGTTTGTGCACATTATGAACATATTTTAGGAATCGGATTTCAACTGACCCTTTCTGAATGAATGACAACAAAACTAAAGAATACTTTCTTTAGTATAGTGGGCAAAAAACTTTTAGAAAATAATAAATTAATTTGGTTCTTGTGGCAATTGTTTGCACTGAAAAATATTAAAAATATTATTGTGCTTAAAAATACTTAAAAAGTATTGCTTTTTGAATATAGTATCAGACTATTATATTGTTTTAATCAAAAATACTCAACTATTATAACTTGTCTTTTTTTTGAAAAATTATAGAATTTGAAATTAGTATTGAGAAATTACTCTTAAAATTTTACAAAATTGAAAATGATTCTGATTTAACACATCAGATTACAAGCAATAGAATTCATTCTAATATTGTGATATGATATTTAATGAGTTTTAGATCTTTCTTGCACTTATGTTTGATTTTTAACTTCCCGTAGGGTAAGTTATAGTAATCGCAAAAAAATCAAAAATGAAAATTTTTATATATCTTTACGTTTCAGAGGTTTCTGAACATTTTGGCATACCTTAGAAAAAATGGATGTATGTGTGTGTGTGTGTGTGTGTGTGTGTATGTGTGTGTATGTATGTATGTATGTATGTATGTATGTATGTATGTATGTATGTACGTGTGTGTATGTATGTGCGGATACAAATTTTTGTCGACGATTTCGGGAACACGGATCAACCGATTTGAATAATTCAAAAAACATTCGATTCGCATTGATAAGGAGACGTGCTGATTAGTTTTTGGCGAAGGCAGGTCTAGCCGTTCCGAAGATACGGGGCAAAAAGTGCCGAAAACGGTAACTCAGTTTTTAAGGAGCGTCCGATTTGAATAATTCAAAAAACATTTCACTTGTATTGACAAGATGAAAAATCTATAAAATTTTCATAAAGGTAGGTCTAGCGGTTTCGGAGATATGGAGAAAAAAGTAAAAAAATGAGCCATTTGGCGGTCAAAAATGATCATTAGACATATGCACATCAAATTATCAGATATTTTATAGAGATTTTAACAATAAATATAAATTTTGTTAACATTTATATGGGTTCCGTACTAATGTTTATCCGTTAGACAGCGATGCGGCGCTTATGCGCTTTATATTTTGTCTCTATGCAGTTAAATCAGTACGATTGCTTTGAAAAAAAGTTCAGATCTTCCACAATATGTCAAAATAAAGAAAAAATTTTTTTTTCAAAAAAAAAAAATTAAAAAAAATTTTTTTTTAAAAAAAAAAATTTTTTTTCAAAAAAAAGTAATTTTTTGTCCAATTTATAGTTTCTCAAAAATCTTATTTTTTCAAAGTAAATTTTTTTCAAAAATGTTAATCGTTTTTAAAAAAATAATAATTTTTGGTACGGGAAGTTCC